GCAGGCAGGCAGGCAGGCAGGCAGGCAGGCAGGCAGGCAAGCAAGCAAGCAGATCAACACGCAGAAACGTATAAACCATTTACAATGCAAGATTGAAAATAGACAAAAATAAGATTTTTGTGCAGGTTTCTATTCCAATGTTCTTACCCATGACCACTCTCGCACTTTTTGACACATTTTGGCCACATCACCATATTCAGCTAACGCTGCTCCTACGAAGGACCCCATGCTAGTGCCTGCTACCATGTCCACGGGAATGCCTTCAAAGATAATATTAACAAATTAATTAAGAACACAAAATGGAAAAAACCTTCAGTGCCCTTTGGGAGTAAACCAAGGTTTATTTCAACTTCACGTATCAGAAAAATCGTGATTGAAAGTGTATTGCGTTTACGAGATTTTTCCTCCCTTGTAAGAGTATACATAAGATCGACATTAGATACCATTGGGGAATTATATAGGAAAACAAAGGCGCGCGCGAAAAAAAAAATGTTCTAGTGCATTTTTTTAATTTTTTTGCTCTTTCGCATTACCGAGGACATTATCTTGATCTCGAATTAAAAAAATAATTATTTAATTTTTCCGATTTTATTTTCACCATTCACTTTAATCTAAGCCTTCCTGTGATCAAACTCAGTATAGCAAGCTACTTTGACTGCGCACTAAAATCGTAAGAAGAAAGTCTGAGCGCGAACAATGCCAGCGAGCGTCCTTTTGGATATTAAAAATTTGGGATTTCAGAGTGAGAGTGTAGGACCCAGCTGATAACATAGGCAATGTTCTTTTTCATTTAGTACTTCCTTCTTAATAAAAAAGATAGCCAGAAATGKTTAGGGATTTTTTATTTCCAAAGGCCTATTTCATTTTTTCAAGTGTAGGCGTTTCCATGACATTCTACAGGCACGTGCCCTTATAGCTTTGTGTTTTCCGACAATGTCATGGAAACGCCTTGCGATTGCCGTCCACCAAAACCTTGTTTATCGCGACATAAAAAATCACTACAGGGCGCGTGTGATTGAGAATGGTTGTAAAGCTTGCTTGTTTTCAATGTGAAAAAAAAAAAATGTCGATAATAATTTACCTAACCTCCTCTACAGAGTACAGTTTACAGTTTTCATCAGGCCTGATGATGTTGTCGGGATGACAGCAAAACGTTGTCTTTTACAAATAGTTTTCTTGTTAAATTGTACTCCTAAAAGTACCTTTATCAAATAACCTACCTGCTTCCTCTAAAGCCTTGATTACACCTACATGTGACAGGCCCCTATACCAAACATACCAAGACTTATTAGGTGAAATAATTACAAGCAAGGTTGGCTTCGTTCTATCCTTTAGAGCAACGGACAAGAATAGTCCCCTTCACAGTTTCCAACGTAATCTTTAAAAGTAGCCTTGTGTTTGCATCGAAGCGTGATAGACACATGTGAATAATTGTCCAAGGTGTTAAAAAAAGGTCTCTATCATTGCAAGCTCAAGCAAGGGACTATTTAAGCTGGGGAGAGGACGAGAAAGTATAGAAGGGATGGAATGAACTGGGTGGGAAGAATTTTGGGCAATGAAAATTGCTTCTTTCTCAGTTTCTTTTCATTGTCTTAGTCATTGTGCTTTACCTTGCTCCACCTCCTCCCAAAACAAGGCCGATTGATGTCCCAGTAAGACGACGAGCGAGGCGAGAGAAGTCGGAGTTCCTACAAAAGAAATGGTCATATGAAGCCAAACAGCCCCTGACAAAAGATCACAAAGTTATCATCAGATAACTCGGTTTCTTACCTTGCCGGGGTTTGATAAGCTGCGGGATTTCTTGCATACTAAACATAAAAARAAAAGAAAAAAAGAAAAAAAAAAAAAAGAAAAGAAAGATACTTTAGCGCATTAATTTTCGATCTGCAGTGAAAAACTAAACTGCAAACCCTTATTTCGCGAAACTCGACCCATGCTGCTACTACTATATGCTACAAGGCGAAACATGATGTAATATTAATAAAAGAGACTTACCCGATCAGATAGGAAACGCTTACTGAATATTTTCTTCTGGCATCGAACCTAAAAATCAATCATTCATATTTTGAAAAACAGAAGTTCAACCTGAACTTATGTATTGAAATGAAAAGGCAGACAGAATGACAAATCCAGGTTAGTCTTCTACGTCGCAACTGCTGGAATTGTCACGCAGAGAACGTTGCGTGACGACCATAACGCGCATACGTGGGGGACTAGACCTGGGTCGACGTTCACTTTTCATGCAAGAAAAACAGTTGAAAGTTTAACAAGTTAATTAGTTGAATGGCTCGGCTGATAAACGGTTCGACATCAAACTCTGACTTTAGAAGTCTGACAACTTACGTGTGTATGCGCTGATATCCACCCCCGGGCATTTAACCACTGTACTGTACCCGATATCCGGTGATTGCTATCAACCTCACTATGAAGAAGGATCAGCTCCTTTTGGGCTCGCACTTGAATGCTTTCTAGCTGAAGTTCAAGCTGAAAAAAAAAAAAAATTGGCAATACGAGTGAGAAAGGGGAAACAGCTAACTGCTGCAAAATCGTGCATGGCTATATTTGGAACAGAAGAGCTAGCCAATGGTTGGTTGGAGGGCCAAATGGCGCAAAACGTGTTGCATTGAATACAACAACAAGTTATCAGCAATCGAGTCGGACCCATTATGTAAACAGTTATATCGTTTAGTTGAGGGGCGAAAGCACTGGTCATTGATTAACGTGCTTCCATCAAGTTTTGGGTGCAAGCGGGAGGTTGCTAAACACGCAAGAAACTTAAGAGTTGCACGAGGCGTAGCCGACTCTATCATCTTGAATACTTGAATAACCAACCAAGAGCACCCATAACTCGATGGAAGCATGCCAATCAATGACCAATGCTTCTATAACATAGCAAAAGCGTAAAAAATCTTCGTTAATCGAAATAAAAAATTTTTTTTCGAAAGAGTTCTCCATTACATAGCGCGCGCTACTTGATCACATCAGCGTACACCAACAATTGTTGGATGCACGCTAATTAACCAGTCAGAGCGCGAGTTATATTGTTGTTATGGTATAAGTTGGGATCATAAATCCTTTTTTCATTTTCCTTCACTTTTTTAAAAAGCAGTTTATTCTGTTGATTTACCTGTCCGACTGCTGGGTTTTCATCTGCTAATCCAACAATCAGTATACAGTCAGCCTGTGGATGGAAAACCATTGGATGTTGTTGGTATCTTGTTCATTGTACATTGAGGGCCTATAGGGACACCTAGTCTCCTCCACAGGCTACCTCATATATTCTCTGTTGGGATCAAGTAAAACTCCCAGCAAGAGACAGGAAATGACGTCAAGTGAAAATCCCAGCAAGAGACAGGAAATGACGTTAAGTGAAACTCCCAGCAAGAGACAGGAAATGACGTCAAGTGAAACTCCCAGCAAGAGACAGGAAATGACGTCAAGTGAAACTCCCAGCAAGAGAACGAAATGACGTCGAGTGAAACTCCCAGCAAGAGACAGGAAATGACGTCGAATGTAACTCCCAGCAATACGACAATACGTGGGGGAGAGGGGGGGTGGCATTAGGGTGTTATGTAATGTGCAATATGTTAGTATATTAGGAAAGATCAAGTACTAGCCTGTCTTATGCATCTTTTAGTCCAAGCTGACATGTAAGAATCAGCCTGATACAACACCATACGATGAAGATCCTCTTGTTGTCCCAACCAGCTTGCAAGACGGTATTCATTCATACTGAAAACAAAACACGAACTATAAATAGAGTGCATACCGCATATACGTGACAAAGGTAACTAACAATGCCAAGTTTTGTAGGTCTACGGTCTACTGAGAGGTCTACTGAACTTACTAATTTGTGCAATTTCTTACAAAGTTTTTCACGGACATATGGTATGCACTCTATCTTTGAAATAACAATATTAAGGTCTTGAAATTCTTTGTACGTGTGAATCATATGTGTGTCTTTTCAAAAAACGTTGTCGGTCGAAGACCTGAATTCTAAAATCTGAAACCAAGTAGGACGCTGGAAATTGTTATATACATTCAAAGCCGAACGACTTAGTTTTCGCCCCATGTAAGGGAATCCGGACTTATGGTGGATTCCCGATTCCAAGCGCTGGATTCCGGATTCTGAGACTCAGTATTACGGATTCCAAGGGTCTGGATTGCGGATTCCAAAACTTTTGTATTGCGGATTCCGGATTCCATATCGTTAAATTTCAGATATTTTCTCTGAAAATTATATTTGATGTACTTGCCAGTATAAGTATAATCGTCTATCAATTAAGTCAGCATCTGATGAGAGATTTTCTTGGTGGAGATATTACACAGAGGGGGAGGGGCTATAATATCGGCTCAGTCTAGGTCGAGGCGATAGCATTTGAGTGTAGACTTTGAATTTCAAAGTAGCGGATTCCGGATTCCATTATAAACTGGATTCCGGATTCCAAGGCCTGGATTCCGGATCCCAGAGTGCTGGATTCCGGATTCCAGAGTGCTGGATTCCGCATTCCAAAGCCTAAAATTTCGTGGATTCCGGATTCCGGATTCCGGATTCCGGATTCCAGATTCCGGATTCCGGATTCCCTTACATGGGGCGATAGTTTCCTTTTAGATGGAATATGAAGCATGACCTTTGAGTTAGAACTGTTATTTTTCGTATTTTAGTCAGAAAACATGAAAGCACAAAAATCCCGAAAAAATCGCCCATATCAGATCTCCGACCGACAATATTTTTTTGAAATAGGTGTATACAAGCAGAAAGCTGTAATGAGTTTACCTGTCGAGTGCAGAACTACCCAGGTTACTCCGTACGAAGTTACTGGTTAACAACAAAGTAGTGCCTGTAAAAGATAAGATAAGAACACGGGTTAAACGACATGACATTATTGGGAGAAAGGTGGTATAAATAGGGGTGGGACTGAGGATTACATAGCAACCCCAAAAGGAGAGATGAGAGGATAGTCTAGAGATCACAAGACAAGTAATAATGAAAAGAAAAAAACCCAAGTATAAATAATAGACTCTCAACGACACAAACACCCCGAAGGAGAACCTAGTTGTAGGCTTATAACTCCCAATGTTTTTTTAGGTCGTATCGATATTTCTGTAAACTTTCTGTTAGCAATAGTTTCACTTGCTTTGACCTCGTTTTGTTAACCCACATGTATCAAATTAAGCTGATCCTCACAGTATATGAAGCAACTTATGCAGCTGCAAATTGAAAGACTCAGAAACAAGTCCGAGTCTTGAACAGGATTATTCCTACAAGTATCCACTTACCTATCGCATTCAAAGCCAGACTTAATTCAAAGCTAAAGTTAGCCAGAGGTACATTTGTAGAGGCAGGAATAAGTGCAACCGTCCCAAGATTTGACCCGCCAAAGATCTGATTGTCTACTGGCCGATGATTTTCTAACAACACAAGAAAAAAAAGACAACGTTAAGGTTACCTGTTTAGATCGATGTCAGTATTGTAAAGTAAAGAAACCGAGAAAGCTTTAAATGTAGATAGTACCGCAACTCTCAATTGTTTGTATGGGAAATCGCACGATTTCGAGTACAATTCGAAGGAATTTATAGGTACGAGCGATGTTTTTGTCATTTATAATACACTCAACAAATTTGAGCAACCTGAGGAACTCTACAGAGTACAATTTGGGATTAAATTGCACTCCTCTTGTCCAATCAGAATTGAGAAACTTTGTCGAGTGTATTATAAGAAGTGCAACAGGGATAACAAATTGGAAGGCAGAGGGGTGGGGTGTGGTTGCGGTGAGGTTGGTGGGGGGTGGGGTAGATGTTTAATGCATTTTCCTCAGTGGTCTTATCTGAGAAAAAAAAAAAAAAACACTTAGGGGGAGGGGATGGGGTCAACTCTACATTCCACATCCGAATTGACCTTTTTTCGAGTTCCAAATTACTGCTGTGTTTCTTGATTACAGATTCATTTACTCAGGCTTAGCCTTGTATCAGTATCTAAACAATTTACAAATACCAAGAATGTGGTATAGTAAAGAATGAACAACTTCAATAACACTTTGAAATCTCACGGACCTTGACTGTAACACATGTGGCATCCGGTACTTATTGATGCAATAGAGTCCTTACCTAAGAGAGCTTCTGTTCGTACCGTTCCACGTCTGTACTGACCAAGTAATCTCTCACCCAACAAATGAATCAGACGAGAAACAACCTGTCAAAAAAAYCCGACGCCAAATCCAGTAAGAGGGGCTTTTTGAATGCTGGAGAAAGAGACTTATGCTTTGCACAAACTATAGCAAATTTCGTAAAATTGTTTTAAAAAAACACGGTACGGACGTGACGTAGAGCAGTTTTCGTATGACTGCGAAAAGCTCACGGCATGAACACGGTTGTGAAACGGCAAGGGATACGCCAGACCAATCGCATTGCTCGTGAATTTAATCTCCATCCAATTAAATACCCGGAACACGAAATAAACACGACGCGGGCACAGTCACGTCAAGGTAACGACACTGCCAGACCAATCACATTGCGAGAGAAAATAAGCCAATGCTGCTCTAACATGACCGAGACATTACTGCGTCTGAGCTTTTACATTTATATTGTCGATTCCGAACTGTGACGCCTTCTAGTATTTTGATTGTCTGGGCAATATTCTCGCGAACGCTGATTGGTTCAATCGACAAATGATGTCTGTACCATATTGAGTTGTCCCACAATCATATAAAATAGTGGTTATTTGCTAACTGTGTAGACAAGGGATGCAACAAGTGAAATGATCTGCTTACATGCGGATGCTGTCTCTTGATTGTGTTCAGTAGCCCGTCAGGTAACACTGCGATCTCGGTGTCTCTGGATAGAAGAATTAATGCGATGAGACTATTTCTATGTCATCATTATCATGATCTACCATCCCTATGGCGATTACTCATCGTCATTTTGACTGATCATGATCATCTTCAACGCGGTAAACCCACCACTACCAAAGTCATCATTTATTATGATTGATCATCATAATCATCCACATTTATCATCCTCCTCATCACCACAGTTATTATTCGTTATGATTAATCATCTTTATCATCATCATCACCACTATCCCCATTATCATCAATGTCAACATTCAACAAGACCACGATCATGATTATCATCATCATTCACAATCGTTATCAAAAGCATCGTCATCATTTTCCATCTCTTACCGGATGGCATGGACGGTAGTCGCTCTAGGAGCTTGAGTTAAGACTTCGACCTAAACGAGAGAGGACAAGACGCCTTATGAAACTACAGCTACCTTACGCAATAGTACGGACCTTAAAGTGCCTATCAACCTTCTGACAATATTCACAGTATTAATTCTACATGGAGTAATATGTGGAATAACCAGAAAAAAATTTCATAGTTTGAGTACGGCTTGTTGAAGTTATAAAGGTTTTTACCGTGCCATATGATAATTCTGTGACGTATGAGGAGTATAATCATTTAATAACAAAACATTACTGGCACAGATAAATTAAATCTGAAATACGTCGTTGCTTTTCCCATTGCTCTTATAGAAATTATTGCAAGTTATTTTTAACATAGAAGCCGGTGTTTCGAATTACAAGGAACAACAAATAACAATAATTGCCTCCTCATACGTCACAGCATTACCATATGGCATGGAAAAACCTTTATAACTTTAAGAAGCCGCACTCAAACTATGAAATTTGTTCTGTTTATTCAACATCTTATCCCATGTAGAATGAATACTGTGAATATCGTCAGAAGGGTGATAGGCACTTTAAGTATAAATATTTTAAAATAATTAACAGGGAGTCATATTAAAAGTATCCTCACCAGTCCAATGATTTCACCTCGACCAGCTTCACTGACTAATTCTTTCTTTCCATTTTCTAATTTAACTACCGATCGAAGACGGCCGTTAAGTACAATGTAGATACTCTTAGACATCTCATCTTGCCTAGAATAAAACAGACAAGTAAATTTGTGTGAATAGACAATAATAGTAATGTACTCTCTTAAAAAATGTCTTGAATGCGAGGCTAAATGTCACAACTAGACCGTTTTCTCAAGGTTGCGTGCGCATGCAACTTGACGGGCCACAAAACTAAAAAACGCAAATTCATTAAAATTGAGAAGACTGTTATATATTTAAAGAGGAGAATAATCGACTTAATGCATTCCATCGCGAAAGAGTCTGATTTCTTTTGTATTTTCATGTTAGCCTCTCATCAGCGATACTTTTGAACAAGGTCTATACACAGCCATTTTATAACATCACCGCTATCTTTGATCATTATCTTCACCTGCACTACGATCAAACCCCATCTGCAATACCCAGTGTTCGTGCTGAGGTAACCACTTAAAATTCAAGGACTATTCAAGGAGTATACAAGGACCCAAAAATGAATTTTCAAGTAGTATGTACAGCTAATTATGCCAAGGTTTTACACGGTGGTTGCACATGGACGACTTACAGATTTTCCAATCTTTCTAACTAGATCTATTTCAGAACCATGCAAGTAATGATCGAAGCAAAAATTCAAGGAGTTTTCAAGGAGTTTCGCTAAAATCATAAAATTCAAGAGCTTTTCAAGTGCCCTTGAAAACGTGAATTAAATTCAAGGAGTTTTCAAGGAGTTTAAGGAGTAGCAGGAACCCTGAATACCATTGCAATTATCCTAGTAATCGTTCACAACGTGAGTTTTTACCTGTAGAGTGCTCTACCAGCTTCAATGTGCATCCAATCAAGAGCATAATCAATCTGCCTCARGAACGGTGATAGGCGCTTAACCAGCGAGTAAGACACATTCAGGATTACTCTCGGTCTCTGCCGCATGAAACTACAAGGAAAACACAAGTTATTGACAAAAAATTAAGAGATAAATGATCAAACAAAGGAACAAACAGACAAACAAACAAACAGACAGACAGACAGACAGAAAACAAAGCAAACAAATATGATAAATTAGTTAATAAAGAAACGTGAAACTACCAAGCTTAAGTTAAAATACAAAACATGGATTGCTGAAGGTCAGGAACAATGCACTGTTTTTGTATGATCGATAAATTCCATTACTCACAGGAAAAATAATATTTTTTTCTCTCTCTAGACCATGGCTGTTGTGAAAATACTCGGTTATCTATTCTTAGGTGGAGTAAAGAGTAAAGATTGGCAGTGCATTTTGGGAATGTTTTCGGGGACGGAAAATCCGCCATCTTGGAAATATGTCCCTTAAAACAGCCCCACAATGCACTGCAATGCCAACTCGACCCAGTCTTTTCCTCGACATCGGGAATGGCTAATTTTTCACAACCCTTTTTCTATGTAAACCTTTTGGAGTGGAGGGTGTGGAGGAGGTTAATGAAGGAACTAACATTTACCTGTAAAAGTGCGCCTTCGTTATGACAGCCAGTGAACACTCACTAGTTGATTTGACGGTAAATAAAGCAGGTTCACCAGTAATAACAGCCATGACTCCCACAAACTCACCAGGTGCTGCGGTATACAATACATTCTGCGTGCACAAATACACAAATTATATTAGTATTTATCATGGGGATTCGAAGGGACGAGCAAGCGATTTTAAATAAAAGTYGTGTATCGTATTTGTCTTTTTGATGGTTTGAAAGCATCCCCAGGATAGTCAGTGAAAAGACGAGGGCTGCTACATGAAGAAGTATTCTCCTAGCGAAAGAAATGATTGAATAAATGAGGGGAGTTGGGGTGATGAAGTACTGCTATTGATGCGGTTTGAACAGCCTGCATGCCTACCTGTGTTTCATCATTCATACTGCTTTGTGTAACTTGTAATGTTCCAGACAGTACAAAGTGTAGATTACACTCCTGCAAATGCACACAAATAGCATTACCAAAATATCATTGTAAGTGTTTCAATAGTGTAGAGCCCTATGAACCTGCTGCTGTTGTTATTAGACCACACCTCCCCCTCCCCTCCCCCCCCAAAAAACACCACACCTTCCCAATTATTTCTTTGTCAAATATCAAATTAGCCAATGTGCACGAGCACGAATCACTAGCAAAAAGCATGACTGGGGTACTTTTTTTTAAGTCAACCAACAGGCCCGAATGTTTTATTAATTTTTTATATGCCAAGAGATTTTGGTCATATGATAGCACCCCAGGAATTGCAATGAACTGTCGCATAACAGCACAATGACATATTTTCCAATTTTTCGTTTACGTTATTGTTAAGAAATATTTATGTAATATCTGGACAGCCGGAAAGCCGGCCTTTATACACAGAATCGAAATATGAAATATTTTAATAGCTTTTTTTCCTGACCAGCTTGCATCGTGTTCGCGTGGAAACATAAAAGCGTTTTCACATATCTAAGAGGCTAGTCAGTCACGTTTGCATGATGGCATCATTGACCTCTACTACCAGCCTCCCTTGCACACTTTCTTTTCTCCACTTAATTAGCACCAATAGTCTTACTATTCTCATGAAGGAATACAAATTTGAATGAGAAAGAAAATTCGCCAAGCATTATGGTAGTGGGAGTGAAATGACTCCATCATGCAAACGTCCTATTGGTCGTCATATTTTGATTTGGTATATTGTGCGAGATTTTACTGACCTGATCCCCCTGTTGTATTATAACTGTATTGGCAGAAACAATAGCGATGTCTATCATATTATCTAAGATAGATTCGTTCTGTAAACAAGACCATCATAAAATTGGTTACACAAAATTGGTGACACAATTTCAACCAATAAGATGCGGCCAAACTTTTTTCCACCAATCAGAATAGAGGGTTGGTTTTTAGCCAATAAAAATCAGCAGTAATGTAACTACGCTCTGTAACGCTACGCTCGTTCTGTAAACAAGACCATCATAAAATTGGTTACACGAAATTGGTGACACAATTTCAACCAATAAGATGCGGCCAAACTTTTTTCCACCAATCAGAATAGAGGGTTGGTTTTTAGGAAATAAAAATCAGCAGTACTGTAACTACGCTCAAGACGGTACACGCACTGACTACAATGGACAAACAAAACCTGTCTTACCGGTATATCTAGTTTCTTTGCTATTTCTCGCACAGCGGTTTTCAGCAAATCATCTTTTTCGTCTTGGGTTTTGCTTGGAAATTCCTCCACATTGTGTCCGTTACTATGACCACAGGGGAAATCGAAGCGCGATTCTTTTGAAGTGGGGCTTGACTCAGAATCGCTTTCAATTTCAAACGTAGCACCTGCGCCTCCACTACTACTAGTTTCGGGCAGCGGATAAACGTTTGGGACACGCGCACGACCGCAAGCTGCGTCGAAGTCAGACGAAGAACGATAGGCAACTGGAATAGAGATTAACGAACGTGAATTAGAATAGTGAAGGTTTCTAACAGCAATTACTCTCGCTCAACCGATTAACAAAGTGTGAGGAGCTGTGTAGGCCATAAGCTGGTCAGTATTACTAAAACTATGTACAACTATTAAACAATGAAATGATACTCTAGGGAATACACATGGTCTGAAATGCAAAAACATTACGCGCAAGTGGATTTCATCTGTTATATGAGATAAAACAAGACGTATAAAAAGGTTGAAATTAGAAGATTGCTAATTGTTTAGCTTAATTGCAAAGAAAATTAAACTACGCTAAAATATTAGTGCGGTTACGACATCAAACGTCTTATATTCTAGTGCATATTTTTATCTTAACAGGCTGCAGCAGTGGTTGCATTGGATACATGCATAATGTCCATATTGTTGCAATACACAGTACAACTGAAATTGCAGATTTATCGATGATGCTAATACCAGCGAAACATAAAATTCACAAAGTAGAGGAAGATGTGATGCAGCAGCATCAGTAAAAAATGGATATCACCTGGACCCGTCTAATCTTACCTGTGACGCTACTGCTTCCCTGCCTCTTTGGCCTTCGCAATGAAAAACAATCTCTGACCTGAATTATGCGACTTTTCTCGTTTTCTTTCTTGCATTAAGGTGCAGTAATATGGGCAACAAAATCGGGCAACTTGTCGCACAACTAGTTGTAGAGCAAATATTGCTTGTATCACCACTTCGCGTTCGACAAATTTGGATTGTTGTAAAGAGTGGAGAGAGTTCCTACTTTTGCGCAACAATGCAAATTTGTTGCGCGCGGAGTTATAATACGAGAAACATTTGCTCTGCAACTCGTTGCACGACAAGATGCCCGATTTTGTTTTCCGTGTTACCGCACCTTTAGCCAATCAGAATCAGTCGGAGTTGGGTTTGCAAAAAGCATTATTTCTGAGCGGAGACCAAAAGGAGCAGTTTGACAAGTAACAAGAATGGCAATGCGCGAAAATTCCATGCGCACACATGTCATGCACGTGTCATGACGACAACCATGTCAAAAAATAGGAACAAGTTTAACGCCTAGTTTTCAGCGATCAACGATCAACAATCTATCTATATCATATGACCATATCAACTTTATACCTCTAGTTGTTGTTTACCATGCATGGCCCTTGGTACCAAGTACTTAGTTRTATCATGTCACTTGACATATCTGGCACTCAAAATCACGAAGGAAAAGTAGTGAGAGCCAGTTTACAAATATAAAAAATAGTGGACAACGGCCCTCACGAAGGACAGAAAGATGAAGCGTAAAATCTTTCGCTGTCTTAATCTGTGGGTTTAGCTAAGAGCCATCGGTAGTAAAATTACCACACAGATCGACAGAGAAAAAGCATACCATGGAAACTAGAATACACTGTCTTCCTGACTACCTAAAATAATGCAATACAGCAGAGCGCAACAAAGCACCCAGGTGTTCAGATACTGCCATGGATTATTATGAGAAGGAAAAAAGAATTCACTGAGGTTTAATACTATTGCGAGAAGCTAAGGTGTACGAGTGCTCTTTCTGTTAAGAGTGTTAACTTCCTTACAGACATGTATCAAGTAAGAAAGAGAGAAATAGCGAAAGAATAAAGTGATTTGCCAGTTTAGTCTTCATTACTAGACTCAAGTGCATTAGGTGCAAAGAAAAAAAAAACAATAAAAAAGAAAAGCAAGCAAAAACCTTCAGAGTCGGTCAACTCTCCAGCAGAAGCTGCACTGGCCCGGCCGGACATGTAAGTAAAGGAGCTGCACCGTCCTAGGGCTGCCTTGGCTTTAAACGTAGGCTCTGAAAAGCTGACAGAGCGCTGGAGCTTCTTCTTTACCGGAATAGCAGCTGATTGGTTGGGACTTTCTGAGGCTTAACAATTATACATGTACGTCAAGTTGGGTTTAGTAACATGGCTCCTTTACTTTACGCAGCGATTAAAAAATGCATGCCATGGTATTATGCATGTAACATCTAACACTTTGAGTTAAGAGGCATGGCAACTGAATACGGCACATCGTAAGTTAGCCATACCGTGACCGTATTTCACTTTGGCGTCAATGTAACTAAGCGTTTTGATTGGTTAATCCATAATGGAAAGCCATTTCAAAGTTACGCGACATACTGTCGTACCATGCACGTGCCGCGAGTCCGTACTACAAGTTTGTCACGCAAGCGAAAACGACTCGACTGATAAACTTGAGACGAGAGGTTTTTCGTTAAGCGTGAAAAACATAGAGAGCGTTTTCACTCAAGTGACAAGGCAGCCATATTGGAGTACCAAACAATGGAAACTTTCTGCACAGCTTTTGTAAAATAGGCTCCAATGCCCGGAGGATAGAAAATGTATTGTTTTGGTACACCATAATGGCCGCTGTGACATCACATGAAAACGTTCTATTACGGACGTGCTTTGACAGGGTCGTCTGCCATTGGTTTAATAGTATTCATTAAAATTAATAAACCATTTACGTCTTCAAACAATTTTTAACCGCGTTTCTTCTGCTGTAGCTTTACCTTTTGCAATGAAGCAAGAATCAATCAAATTAATTTTATATAAAAAAAACTTGACATTTGAGATCGCATAAGTGAGATATTACAAATGTACAAGACATTTGAAGGAAACATTAAAAATACATTGACATTGAACGTGAGTTCGTTCACAGAACATCCCTTCAGCAATTTTATTTTAAAATAACTGTTCTTTCGCGCAATCTGATTGATCGAAATACCATTTTACTTGAGAGTATCTAAAACGCTATCTTCATTTTTTCTCGAGCGCGCTCTCTGAATTTTTGTGGGGGGAAAAACACACTGTTTTTCGTTAATTGCTTATTTTTAAAAAAGGAAGTACTCCGTTTTAGACACTCTTGAAAAGCTGGATACTACTCCGCTACGCGTCCGCGTGGTTTCCAACGCTACCCTCGTGTTCTCTGTGTGTTTAGATCAAAGTCTCTAAGACAAAACACTGTTTTATATTTCTTAATTCTTTGTCGGCCGATATCATAAACACCACGCATCGTTCTGACTTGTTGCTGACACATGTTAACCTCAATAGCCTAAAGATTCATTATGTACTATTTCCAATTAACATTCATTGCAAGTCGCGCTTACCTTTTCCACCACTGGATGAGCTAGCTACAGCGATGTCAGGATTAGGGCTTCCACTATTAGACGCGTTCACATCTTGAGCTGTATCCAGAACGAGCGGCTTCTTCAGTGAAGATTTAGGAACTTCAGAAAGGTGTGCCTCGAATGACCGGGTTTTTGAGGGACTGCTGACTGATTGAGGTAGAGTGTTTGGGAGCGTTGCTGTGGTGAGTGTGGAGCGACGAGTAGTTGGAACACCCTTGAAAAAGAAAATCACAAAATATATGATTATGATTATATGATAGTTAGTGATGTTTTGAGGGAGGAAAACTAGAGAAAATCCCTTGTCGGGGTAAGGGAAGGAACAATACATCAAAAAAACTCAGCTCCCGTGACTCAGACGGAAATTGAACCTGCTGCTCCAGGTGTGAACTATACAGCGCAAGTCACCCATACCACCTTAATGTGATAAAGTTGACGAACAAATAAATGTCAAAATGGGCCGAGAAATGTTTTGAATTGCGCGTCTGCGTCCAATATGAGAAAAGTTACTTTAACTGCAATCGCAAAGYATAAAGGATCATAAATGCCTTTTAGCGCTTAATTCCCACAAATTCCAAAAACCTGACTTTGATTGTGCGTTCATGATTGGAAATTGCGTTTATTTTGTTTATAAGATTAATATCTAATCAAGAGCAATGGAACGATTTGAAGATGTTCGCAGTTCTAGATTTATTCCACTAAGATTTATTCAGTCGGCAAATAACTCAAATTGTAAACAGAGTAAGTGCGACAGAAAAAGTAAGTTACATACGTCCGTGCCGTGACATGGTTGTGCATGACATTCAAAGCATTTTCATAGGATACTCAATGATCGTGCGCGCTTTGAATGGGCCAGTGGATGATGACATATTCGTACCGTGACTGTGCCGCGTACTGTATCTTTTCATGTTCATATGAAATCTACTCTATATATATATGTATACTACGAACTTACCGGGTCGATTAACTCGTAGCTCAGCCCTAAGAAGTTATGCATAGCCATAAATGTGACTTGCTGTAATCGTAGCATGATTATCTGGGGGGRAAATACACAAGACCAGTGTATCAAAGTTAAGTAAACTAGATACAAGTGCAGACAATGCGTTCCCATTGCGGACCACATGTCATTCGCTCGAATACTACAGTAACCGAAAGGATTCCCATGTTACAGTTGTCATCTCGATCATGGCGTAGCAATGGAAACAGTGACAAATTCATGCTTAACCTTACCTGGACCACTCGTACCAGTGATTCTGGATTCTTCTTAAATACTTCCTGGAAAGCTTTACCAGGAAGCCTGGAAAAGATAGCAAAAACTATTGAGTCGAAATGAAGTTTTTAAAACCGCGATATTCTATTTAGTTTCCCATTTCGCTTCAAATATATAAATTCAAAAAGAAAGATAAAGAAGAAAAATTAGTGAATGAATAAGAAAGAATAAGAAAGAATGCTTAAGAGAAAATAAGAAAAGAAAAGAAAGGAAGGAAGGAAGGAAGGAAGGAA